GCAAAATAAAATAAACCATATATGGCACTGTATGATTTATGTACTTATACACACGGTACATGTTCAAATATATATATATATAATGTGGGTAAAACAAAAGTAAACCACCCATTTGGGAATGCTTGATATCACCTATAAAAATGGTGAAATTGGGGGGTGGTTTATTATTGTTTTACCAACATTAATCATGAAACAAGGTGGTATCAAGCATTCCCAAATGGGTGGTTTATTATTGTGTTACCAACATTATATATATATATATATCTATTTGAACATGTACAATGTGTATAGGTGCATAGATCATACAGTGCTACATATGTTATACTTTATTGTGCTAAATATGACGCTTCAAAAATTGCACTACATTGTCATATATATATATATATATATATATACAGTATGTTACAGTTCGCCATGGAAAGATCAACCCATTTTTAAGAACGGTCAACCATCTATTTCTATGGGCCATCTATTTCCCATGGCTATGTTAGTCATAACCAGAGGGTATATCACCTATAATATATACCCTCTGGTAATTTAACATAGCTATTGAAAATGACCATTTATAGTGGATTTTCCCATTGAAAATGATGATTTTCCATAGTTATGTTAGTTTACCAGAGGGTATCACCTATACATCTGCAATTCTATCCAACGCCCCCCGCAACGCATCCCAGACTCCCCGGGTGGCTCGGTGAGGCCCGTCCACCACATGATGTCCTGATTTCAGGCCAACATAGGGTTTGTTCAGCAGCAACAAATGGCGAAATCATGGGGAAATGCTGTGAAAACATAACCTTACTGCAACTGTATCAGATTCAAATTGATCCAAGTTAAGAATCTTATGATGCTCATGTGCATATGGACCTTTATTTTAAGGGTATATTTATATTTGGGGTAACTGTCAGTAGATGAAGGTATATATAATGGTATATATAATTGTATACTGTACATGGAGCACTTGGGTATGCGAAGAACGTTTTGACAAAAAAACATCGCGCAGGTGCATCTGCATCTTACGTATATGCATACAATGAACAAAGACCGATACATATGCGCAAAGGATCAGTGCTAGCATTACATTTAGTAAGTGCACTATAATATGTTCTAAACATTTGATATATATATATATTCATCATATCTCATCATCCTGCCATATCTTGCGATATCTTGCCATTGTTCAATGGAACCAGCGGCATGGAACCGCCTCTAGACCTTTCAAAAACTCTGAGCTTGGGACCGGCTCTTTGGTTACCGCCATGATCTTGGAGTCATAGTAGCCGTAGCTCAGTGCAAGGGGTCCATCCCGGAAAATCATGGAAATTTGTCCTCTTGTAATTCCCCGTTTCAACATTATATTGGTTTACTATGGTTTACTCATGCTTGAACAAAGCACATCACTTGAATCAGAACAAGTTCAAGAGGATTCGGGAAGGCATTATTTGATACCACGAGAAGAACTGCGCAGTACATCTAGAAAACATGTCCAACTTGTGCAGAATCCGTTGGTGTTATGATGGTGGACCGGAACTGACACAATTCCATTATACAGAAATAACATGAAATACCAACTTTTGTAAGTATATTTAAGTACATACTATAAACCGGCTGTCATATGGGGGCATTTCAGTTGCCATGCTTGATTGCCAATGTGTAAGCTCTCAAATTCATAAAATATACAGCAAATTCAGATTCGGAAAACGTAATGACTTTCCGTACCCCCCAAGCAATTTGATTTGACAATTGAACACGCCATATTCATCAATATTTGGCATTCCATCTACAAATGGGAAATTTCCCAACGCGAGTTGCTAGATATCTGGCTGCATTATGTAACAATTCAGCAATCTTCACCCTTCGAATCATCGTTCCAAAAATGTGGCAAACCGGCAAGGCCAATATAATAAAGCACCCCCAATAGTTGTTTATGAACTTGGGATAACTTGGGTATACTCCCATTTGGGACGATGGAACATGATTTCCAATGGTTGGTTATTGGAATTGTATACCATTGGGTCTCCCGGGTTTCAAGGTATCCATCTGTTTGAACCCATGCCATGCAAGGCGGCGGCGGCCAGTCAGGGTTCTCATCATCCGCATTGGATCATCTATTGGGATGTCCCAAACCGTAATCATTTGACATGACTTCCTTAAATTGTATCCCGATTCAACCACGCCCAATTAGGCACCATTAGGCACCCCTGGGGCTCCCAAACGTTTCCGCTAAGCGCCTTCGGAACTCGAAGTCGCGGTTCTCGGGCGCACAGCTGTACCAGCCAGAGAAGATTCCCTCTGACGGGCAGCCCTTGAAACTCAGTCGCCAAGTGCCGTGGGGCCATAGTGGGATCAGGTGGGTTGATTGCACATCCAAAAAGTGGCCCCTGATGGCCCTTAAGTTTGTGGGATTTCTAGTGCGTCAATTCACCTTGTCTTATGTGGTCACTCTTCGATTCGACTCCCTTCGATGTGAATTTGCTCACAGCTCAACATTTCGGACAAACCTATTGTAGCTCGTATTTTTAGCCAGCTCTGCTCCAAGTCTGCTGCAAAGCCCGGAAAATAGACCATGTCCAATGTCAATCATCCCAACATGTCGGCCGTTCAATGCTCGTTCTACTAGGCGGCCCTTTTCATTTCTAGAATGCACATGCCACATGCATGATACACCATGAAAAAAACCAGCTGCTGTTCACAAATTCTTCCGGAAATGCAGCTATGGCTTGCAGCTTGACCAGATGCCCTGGTCCAGCGGCCAGAAATGCAACGATCACAACATTGGTGGTCATGCAAACGGAGATTCAGCACCGAACATTCAAGTCCTATGTGACTCCAAAGGCAGCGAATTCAATATATTCAATTCGATGTATCATACATGAATGGCTCTTCCATTCAGCGACCTTGGATACCATTGATGGCCTCTGAAATTATGTGGAATGTGGTCATACCATTTGGCTTGACCTCAGCCATACGGCACCAGGTCTAGTACTACGGTTGCCAACAAAAAACGTCCTGGAAGGGCCTGGATGCAACAGTTCTTTCATGTTCTTTCTATGTCCTGGGGCATCAATGTGACAGGATCATACAGGATCCAGGAATGTAGAGATATCGACTAGACATAAGTCCAATAGGTTCAGATGATCCAGGTCCAAGTGATTTACGTTGGCAGAGTCAACCGAGGTTGGCAGGGAAACGGGGCACTGAATCATGCACTGAACAGCTGGAACATGGGTATCACATTGGCAAGACATTGATGGCACCAGGATCTTTCCTGCATACATGTTTATAGATTACCTATACATAATGTGTATATAATATAATATATATATATATATATATATACATGTCAAATTGTAAATACGTGTTTATATATACACAAATATATTTACATGTTTTTACAACGTATCATATTTCTTTTGATGTTCCTTGATTTTTCTGGTTCCAAGACGCATCCCGGCAGTAAGTCCATTTCTCATCATTTTCTCTTCTTCATGTTTTTGTCTTAGCGGTCTTAACGCAAACTTCACCACAGCACATCAGCTGTGAAAAAACCTGATGTCAACGTGGTTGGAGAGGCTGCTACCTGCGACCATGGGAGGTTCCGCCCTGCTCAAAAACAGAACAAACTCAGGAAATAAGTTGCCGTCATGCTCACCAACTCCCGTCAGGGATGCAATGTCATATTCAATCATAAACCGATGATGCCCAATCAAAATAAAATAGCGACTTGCAGAAAACACACACACACACACTTTCTCCCTCTCTCTCTCAATATATATATATATATATACACACATGTATTCATGGATATAAATGGCAACTGCTCTCCACACTGCACATGTATTCTGATGTTCTTTTCGATTGAAGCGTGACGTGGCCTTTTTTTCTCTACAGAAAGCTTGCCCCAACACATCATCCCAGTGGGTGGTTTCATCGTCCCAAAATATGGCTGCCTTAATTGCTTATCTTCCCATTGCTGCTGGTTGTATTAGTAAACATAATTAACAACATATATATATAATATATAATATATTATAATATATATAATATAATATATAATATATATAATAATATATATATATATATATAATTAATTATGATTATATATACATAAATGTTAGTTATATTGTTCTCAATTTGGAGTGGTAAAAACTCCACATATTAATTAGTCCCTTAACCATCATGAATCTAAATGTGACCTCAACAATGGTTACTCGATGCTTTAAAGTTTCCAATTAAGCATCAATTAATCGTTCAATTTATGTTATAGTGATTCTAAATTAGTTGCTACTTGAACGTGATTCAAGTTTAAATTTAACCTAAACTAAACGCATTTCTAATTTAATCACAACTACATTTAGACCATGCTTGAACAATCTTGAACAAATGTTGGATCACTGTCAAATTTGGTGGCATCCGGAAAAATCCATTAACACTTAAAACCAGTGCAGAATCAAGGAAAGCAGCTCCCAGCCAACATAACAACAATATATAACTTAACATTCATACCCATAATGCTATCACTAGCATACAGAATCATTTTGAATTGAATAGAATTAAACCGTTTACAGCGTGATCAGCGTGCTTTTAAACTGAAAGTTCAAGATGAGCCTAAGTTCAAGAAAATTGATTTGGACTTAATTGGCAATTAAATTAGATTTTGTTTAACATCAATTTTGATTTAGTTTGAGATTGGATTAAGTCAATCTCAAATCAAAACCGATGTGGACTTAACAGTTGTGATTTTATTGAACCTTTTTTGAATCATTGCTTAACGTGTAAGCTTAATTTTACTGAAAAAATGCTGTATGAATATTTCATTTAACATGAACTTAGAGGTCATCTAAAACTACATGCCTGATTTTACAAAATTGTAAGTAAGAAGCCAAACAGCCCAATCATAAAATCAACATCATCCAAAAAAAACACCACATCCTTAGTAGGTTCTACATCCCAATTTCACATCAGTATCGTTGGTGAAATCTCCACGTTTTTCGGTGGCCTCAATAGGTGCAGACTTCCAACGTCAGCGACTTGGCGACCAGCTGTTTGGCCATCTGCGCCACATCGTCTTTGACGCCGTTCACCGCAACGATGCAGTCGTCCACACGCAAGGTCTCCTATCGATGGATGATCCGATGGGCCACTAAGGTTGTTGCGTAACGTAAAAAGGGTGAGGGTATAACGTGGTATAACCATAGCGTAAGCTATATGTTAACTGGATTACAAGGGGATATAAAATATTTATATATCTATATATGACCCATCTGATTAACTGGGTTCTCATAGGTTATACCAACCTTCAGGTTAATCATGATATATAAAAATTGGATTACATTACCCATTGATTGATCAGCAAGTAAGTGAATGAGCCATATAAAAATAATTTTGGTCACAAAGGCTTGCTGCGAGAAAAAGAACACGGACACGCATCCTTACTAACTTTTCAAAATATGATAATCCTATGTATCCTTATTTGGCATAGCCATTAATTAAACTTGGCAATCTATAATAAGTAAATCATCCAGAAATTTGTAATTGTCCATGGCTATGTTAAATTAAAACCAAAGTGTAACTGGATCGTTTTTCTATGTTTTTTCATGTTTCTTCTGTGGCTTTCCCTGAGACCTGCAATCAAAAATCCACCAACGATAGGACGCGGCCGCCTGGCCCCGGATGCCACTTTGGGCAACGAAGCCATCCAGTTCCACCTTCCGGACCAAGATGCTGTTGGATTCCTGGTGAGCGGGGCCATGATGGCCATGGCTGGGCGCTTCATCTTCAAACTGTTGTTCGACTTAGCTGGAAAATCAACATGGAATCATGAACACTGAACGGAATTGAATGGAGTAGAAAAAACCTTTGCAGGTCAGCAGGCGGCCACCGTATAGGAACTTTGTAGGTTCTAAACTTGGAAGTTAGTATATCGGGAAGTTGTGATGTGCCTAGCCAGCCCGCATATCTCAAGTCAGAGGACGATTGATCAGACCATTGGATATTCAAACACATGTTATACATGTTCTATCATGTTCTATTCGGCAGCAAAATGACCCAAAGTTTCGAAAGGACGTACACATTCACAATATTCACATGTTCATGACGTATCCATATCCCAGTGTTCATGTCCTGCCGCCGGGTGAGGGCCAGGCCCAGCTTTTGTCCCTTGGGCGCCAGTTCCACCCTGCGCCACTGGGGCCTTCTAAGCCGCAGCTTCACTTGGCCCTGGCTAGGGGATGCTGAGATGCTGTTAAAATCAGCGATTTCTTTGGGGTGAAACTCTGTTGCACCAACAAACTGGGGGCTGTAAGTGGCAAAAATGGGGGAAACACTTGACTCACTTGACTGTCCGGAAATGGAAGGTAGGAACCTGGAATACTTGCTAATCGGGCTTGTGAACATGCTGTTTCTTCAAGGCTGTTTGAGGGATGTCGACTTCGACTTCATTCCTCTCTTTCGGCTTTTCAGGGCAATCAGCGACTTTTCGCACCCAAAAATAAATCAGCCAGCCTAAGCCCAAAGGATTGGTAATTAGAAAATGAACGTCCGAAACCTTATGTATGTAACTGATTGTAAAATATTGTAAATATGTCAAATTTGATTTGCCAATAAAAAAGAGTCAAGCACCAAACAAAATTACCCCAAAATCATGCAAGGTCAAGGGGAAACAGTACCTTCAACTTTAACCCATGCCATATGCCTGCCTTTAATGTTGATCAAATGCGATTAAGTCCTCACAATCCTCATGTTCACGTGAATCAATCTCCGTGTTTGGTATTGTTTGGTGGGTGAACAGGAAAAATTACAAAAATGTACATAAAATGATGTATATATAAATTGCATTAATTTGCCAGCCTCTAATTAGGTAATGTTGGGTAACCTTGATCTACAGCGATGTTGCAGTTAGATACAGTTAGATAGTTACTGTCTATCATGAAGATATACCCATATGAAAACAAAGAAAAATGTATACAATACAACTCAATCTTAATGGAATTTGATCCATAGCTAGAATGTCCGCAATGCTGCCTGCTGTTTTTGTAGACTCGCGGCTGACGTGGGTGAAGCGACGTTCTCGCTGTCATCCTGCATCCGAGCCAGCCAGGGACGGTGCAGTAAGCCATCCAAGTGACAGTCAATTGGGATCATCATCAGGCATCATTGAAGAAAGTGAAGTACAAAACATGGAGACAATTTCACTGGTTAGTTAAGTTAGTATTGGTTGAATTTGGGTTCACTATGGTTCACTTACTGTTCAATGCACTCTGGTGAACTGAATTCATGTTTATTGGTCACATCACATGTTGGCGTGTTGATTGTAAAGAATTTCCCCATCTGGCCCATTTCTGATGGATCGAACATGGTAGAAACTCATTTTTAGTGAAATCCCAATGTGTGTTGCCTAACAGCTAAATCATCTAAATCCCCATTTACGGTCAGCTAAATCACAATGTGTTCCCACTTGAATCCGCATGTTCATGGGTTACTCTCCAATAATTTAATCTAGCTGCGGAAAATCAGGATTTTTCCCAAGGTTCTTGAAATCATCGCACTGAATCGGCCATTTTCCATAGCTATTTCATATGGTGTCATTACCTGAGGGATCCTCCCGCAATTTCCATCCATCAAACAGGCGTCCACTGCAAGCAGTTGGTCAAATTTTTGGATCTTCTCCGCAGTCTCCGCGGTCTCGTTCCACCGCGCTGCGGCTCCATAGACACGGCCTAGGCAAAGGTCCCTTGATGGTTACTGAAAACCACTTTTTTGAAACAAAATTCAGCAAAAAACCTGGCTGCATTGTGAGAGTTCACATATGTTCACATGAAAAATCATGGGAACTTAAGATGAAAGGATTCCCCCTACTAACAGTCGTTTGCGGTGAAGGTGTAGTGAGGTCTTTATCATTCCGCCAGAAACATATTGGCACTTGGACTCCACATACCATCCCCTGAACTGACACAGATTCCGGACATCGCACATCCCAAGAAGAAAATCGCCTTCCCCACTGTTTGGCGGGGTGACTCAGGCTGGTTGATCTCTATGACCCCTATATGGGCCATAACTTACGATACAAATCCTCCTACTCTTCTGGTAATCTAGATATGCTGAATAAATGTAGGATCCTGGCCCATTCGTGGATGAATGCCCATTAACAATGAGGATGGTCCATTGCCATGTTAAACGTACTCAGCCCCGTTTACCTGGAATCCGGACCCCGCAATAGACAAATGCACATGAATGCACTAGATTCACGAGGATGTCTTCGGGGAGTGGGGGAATTCTTGGCGGAGGTTCCGATTGCTGACGGTACTCCGTTCATCAAGGGCTTATGGGACTTCACACACCCCCCCTCAAGACCGACTTTTTTGTTTGGTGATTTCAATGTTCAAGCATGTTCAACCACATTTTCAGAAAATGTTGGGTCCAAATATGTCTAAATCAAACCACCATGCGCAACAGACTCTACACGGATTTTTTTTAATTTTTTGTTGACCTGTGATCAACTCACAGGCCACATCGTCGAAAGCGGTCCTAAGGCCAAACCCTGCAAAAACCATGAACAATTTCAGCCCTTGAGCCTTGTTTTTTCCGTTAATGAGTTCCTGGGAGTTTAAAGAGATTACATGTGATCCCTGTGCAAATCATTGGGCCATAAGAAAATTATCCTCTCCATCCAAGCCAGTCAGCCTTATTGGATGCCCCACATCAAGTGCCAAGTTTCTCACCATGCAAAAAGCCTCCGCCAATTCAAAGTCCAATCCCAAATCTCCTGGTTCCTTTACCTGGGATTTTTTGGGATCTTGGGATCCCCTGACCAAAAAGGTGGATGCTGAAGGAAACAAAACCATCAAATCCCACTGCGCCGAATCACACATCATAATGAACCACATGAACACGTATTAATATTACATAATATTACATCTATATATTATGATTGCGTATAATAAAATACAATATCAAATAAAATGTTATAATATATACAACATTAAACTGTAATTAAAATAATACAATATAATATGTAGCTAGAAAATTAAATAAGAACGCACTGTAAAAGAATTTGAAGGGCTCGGACCCAATGCGGGCTACATTTTTTCAGCTTTACCAAACACATAATACTTTAAGAATTTGAGGGGCCCTGTGATAGGATTGTTGTTATTAAATTACTGTTTATACATGATGTTTTGTGGGTTTTGCTGTATGGGAACTGGAAGGCTGCAATTCCCCTTTGCGGCCCCTTTTTGTGGAATGACCCCTTTTGGCCTTATGGGATGAAACCGGGCTGTGCAGAAAAACAATGTTTCAAGTTCCGACAAATTGTTTTTCGCGCGTGCTTGGGCTGCTTCCAATCCACTCAAAATTGGATAGAGTTGGGAACCTGAAACATTGTTTCACCCTTTATTATTTGATGAAAACTTAGCCCTGCACAACTTCTCCCTCCGGGATTCGAGCTTGCGACCTTCAAGCCTGAGGACTGACACTCTAACCATTGTGCTACAGGACCCTTGCCTGTGGAGAATTCTTACTGTACTCTCTCTCTCTCTCTCTCTGCACAGCCCTTGTGAACCTCAGAGACAATTTTTCAGGTTCTGATTTTTTTTCACCTTCCCCTTGAAAAATGAAACACATTTTTTCCTCGGGGATTGCAGGGGTCAAGTCAGGCAGTGCAAAAAAACATTTTTTTCGCGACCTGAGAAATTGTTTTTTTCGGCACTGCCCTTATCTGCCCTTGTGAAACTCATTGACGCCCGGCTTTACAAAAAAAAAGGCTCTGAAAAATTGTGTTTTTGCATGCCCCTTGTTAAATCTGCCAACTCCACCTCGTTACCTCGTTTAAGCTTGCTCCAAAAGTGCGCAGATGCATACAATACATAACAAAGAATGCTCTATGCTCTAAGGATTTGAGGGGCCCTCGACCTATTGTGGCGGAAATTTGCCTGCATCCAATAATATAAATTTAAGGGACCCTGGGCCTCAAGCTTTCGGATTCTTAACCAACTCTCGGGCTGTAATATGATATAACATACTGTAATTTAATAATATATATATATATATATTACAGTATATATATATATATATATGTATGGAAAGTACAAACTCATGCACGAAACAAACCACAAAACATCGGTCATTTCCTGCCCCTCAGTGACTACCACCATTGGTATCCATTGGTGACCTTGTACATTTCTGAAACAAACCCATTTAATGTGATGGTGAAAATAGCAAACAAAAGCCCAGGTTCTAAACACTCGCCAAACATGGCCAGTAACCATAAACAAATGCATCGATGACTTCGGGTCCCATCCCCTCGCCTCCAGTTGCACCAGGAATTCCCGCTGCTCCATCTGCCGTCGCGCAGAGAGTGCGGAGGCCAGCAGGGATGGCGTCCTGGGCGTCTTGGGCGTTGACACCGAGCAGCTGCCGGGGCTCTTGGTGGGGGATGCAGCGATCATCGGAGACTTCTCGGGGTACGGCAACGGATCCAAGCACTCCTGGCAGATTTTTGGAAGGGATGACTCTTGATGGGTGAACATTTCGGCCAAAATTGCTGGGGACACTGGGGAAAACTCAGGGTGATATATGGTGAGGGTTTTGCATCCACCTCTAAGGAGGCATTCAGGGGAAATCTGGCATCAGGAATCCAAAGCCGTACGTGGCTATGGTCTGCACATGGGCAACGCACCCTGATCCTTCTCAGTTTCCGAGCGGACCTATGGGACCCCCAAAATCCATTGGCTGATCTTCAGGTGAAATAACTGCAACATGACATATAACACAGTAGCTCCAGCCATTTTCAGATCGCATCCTCCAAATGGAAGCGCGCGGGCTGGTAGCTGTAGAGTTCCGGCATGGGAGATGCCGTCCAGGCCTTGCTGGCAGCCACCACCTCCACCTGAAGGGTGGAATGGTCCATGGGCGAAGCCCTGACCACTGGAGTTCTTCCCACGGTGTAGGAAAAAACAGTCATATATGAATGTAATGTTGGAAGGGGCACCAATCCGTGCAAATGCCAAGATCATCCAAGATCCATCCCTAACAATCAAAATCCGCAAGTGAAGGTTGGCTGGATTTGGAGGATGGGTCGACCCAACAGGGGCCAATGAGTGATGCGCCGTTAGTGCCACACCAGAACGGGGCGTCTCAAGACTTCAAAAGGCTTTCACACATTCCATCAAACACGGAGGAAGGCCTTGCCTTTAAAACTTTATTTGTTGGACCTCTACGACCAAGGTAAACACCTAACCAGAAAGTCAACCTTCTTATCCAAACGAAATGCATCCATATCTGAATGCCATCTTCAGCAGGAATTACCCCACTGGTGTCCTGCAAATCCGAATGATCTTCGCATCCGCAGCAAATGGCCACATCCGCTACGTTCAGGAACATGACAGGGGCAGCGGCGCACAAGGCGTTTTGGAAGATGCTGGAGCCCGACAAGCGCCGAGTTTGAAACCTCTTTTCAAGACTATCGATGTAAATGCGAGCCCCAAATCAAAAAATGTCGACGGGATAAACTTGATAAGTTTGATAAAATCATCTAAAATCGAGTCTTGTTGTTGCAGCTGAAGAAACAGTCACAACTTTATTTGTCCCCGGTTCCAAGCTGGCAAATCTGGTCGCAACGGCCTTGAAGGCGGCCCTAATACTAACCAATCCCCACAATAAATGGGTGAGTAGGAAACCATAAAATCACCATAAATGGGGGGTAGAAACCATGCAGAAACCCTCAACATCCCTCAACATATGGGTGGTTTGTTATTGCTTTACAAGCATTAGGGAAACCTCTTTTTCAATGTCATTTTATCATATTTTATCCAGGTTAACTACTTGCATCACGTTGCATCCCAATTGATGGTGGTTGTCTTCTCCATCTTTTGCGGGTGCACATCCCCATGTCTGGAGCCCCAGTTTCAGCCCGTAACCCCATTATGTTCGCTTGTTAAAACCAGGTTGTTTGGTAAAACTCCATTTGTTTGGTGTCAACATGTGTCAATTCACACATTTTTGGTGAATGATTCCCCATTGTGCTGTTTAAACCTCCTGGTTTTTTGCCTGAATTTCACTGATAAAATAATCATCAAATCGCTAAAACATCGTGGGTATTCCCAGCCAACCCCAAAGTTGACCCCACAGTTTGAGGCTTTATGTTGAGGCTATACCAACCAATATCAACCACCAACCACTAGGTCACTAGGAGGGTCAAACGCCAATTCGCCGGCTTCCCGTAGACTTCCCAGGCTTCCAGGCTCCGCCCAGCTTCGGGGTACACCCATCGTCAGGGGATCGCGGCTGCCTTGAGAGTAGGACAGGTGGCGGGAAGTGATGATGATGATGATGATGATGATGTTTATTATTATTATATTATTATTATTATCATTATTATCTATTATTATCTACTATTATCTACTATTATCTACTATTATCTTCGTTATTGTCATTGTCAGTATGATGATGATGAAGAGCATGATAAGGACGAATGATAATGAGAATGATGATGGAATTGATATGTTCAAAATCACACGATAGTCACGATACTGATAATTCCAGGTTCTGGTTGCTTTTGTTGTCGCTACTCATCAACATGTATATTCAAATCATCCATTGGCTGCCATGTTTGAAAATAAAGGATGTCTCCCACCTTCTTTGTCACATGCAAACTTTGTCTTGTTTTCGTGTTGTTTTTTCACACCTTTGAACGCTCTGTTTTAATGTTTTTCTACACTCGCCTTTTTGATCCTTTTTGGGGATGGTATTTCATTCCCAGTTGCGGTAAGTCATGGGGATGGTGGCCCGTGGCATTTGGATGCAGGTAAATACCCGGGTTACCCATGAGTTGTTATTGGCACCATATACCATGACTATCATCACTAACATACCACATACATCCAGCGGCCATTACATATACCATTAGGATCCATTAGGTATACACTCATAGTTTAATCGTTGTTGAGTTGTTGATATTACCACCATCATGAAACCCCAACTCTTCAGCCCCACGTCATCATACGGCATCCCAAGCGACCATCGGGTCTCTCGTACATGGGATCCTGGACCGATTGCTCGAAAGACCCCTCTGTAATCCTAGCCTAAATCTGTACAGTACATAAAGTGATGCAATAATTAGATACAATATGGGCATGTATTTACATAGATTTCCTGCAGGTCTTCCAAACAAGAACTTCTGGAGAGATACTGCAAGTGCCACCCGCAGATAATTAGCGAGGTTGTGGATGGTTTTGAAATGTGGTGAAGAATTTCGTATCTGCGGCAAACCATCTTGCTGATGTTCCCTTCCGAAGTTATTCTACCAATCGGCCAATGGGATTAACCATGCACAGCAATGTTGTACCTCCACAACAAGTGCCTGCGGCATTTGTCCCTTTCCAAAAAGGCCACATCGGCTGCAGTGCCTTTTTGTTGGGATTAAAGTGGGTTACTCACATTTCCCCCACAAATATCACCTTTATTGGGGGGACATCGGGGACATCCGCTATCCACCAAGAACCTATTGATCTATTGCGTTTTGGGCAACGAGGGCCACAGATCTCTCCTTGATGTTACCGGGCATCTCGCGCAACATCAGGGTGACAAAGAGGCTGGCTGCCAGTCGCTGCTCGTAGGTCGACATGTTAAAACGAAACTTGGCATTCCTGGACTACACGAGGCAAAGCACCACGAGCAAAAAAAACAGCATGGATTCCAACAGATTTCAAAGGTGACCTGTGGTGATAGTGATTGGCTTAATAAGCACATCATAATCATCATAGTCATAGCTGACAATGGTGTTGATATGTCTATTGATTCCCCTCCCACAACACTTAAAAAAAACAAGGGAGTTCGCTGCGTCAAGATGCTCCGGCTGCATGTAGGGGAAGAAGGAGACATAGCCCAGGCGCTCCTATCAGGAATTGTTGCTTGAGGCAGCAGAGATTTTCAGAAAACAATGACAACAAAATCCATCAGAAAACATTGATGCGTCAGTCAAGATCACTTTGCCAAATGGTAATGGAACCTTGTGAGGGAACAAAACTTCAAATCCACCAGCTAAGAAACTCATAACATTGCCCATCTTGGGTAATTATCCTGCAAAACATGTGGGTTCACACGCACACATAATATGCATACACACACAATATATATATACATACATACATACTATATTCTGTGAACCAAGGTATTATATATACCCAGTCTTTAGGCAGTCTTTCGTGTCATCCTTGCCGAACCCAAACTCTCCAGAGGGAGAGGCTCCTGGAGTCGCACCACGTCTTCCTGCTTCTCGAAGCGCACCCGGAAGACCTTGGCATTGTACTTGTCCACCACCCTGTCGCGTGGCGCCGGTGGCGCCCGTGGCTGAGCTTCGACCATCCCACAGCATCCGCCCTTGCCTGGGCCAAAAGAAGACCAAGGCGTCCTCTCGATCCAAATCCTGCCGGAAGAAACCCACCATCTGGCGGATGTGCAAAGCGCCTCACTCAGCGGGGCAACTTCTGGGCCATTTCTGTTTGAATTCCTTGGAGAAAACACGGTATGGTGCATCCAAAAAAATGGTCAAGTTCTGAGGGATGAAAAGGATGAAAATATATTTTTATAACGAAATGGGCGACTTCATAAACCAAAACATGGGCTGCAAGCATGACTTTCATTTTTTTTTGGATATGACGACCCAACATGCGGATCGCAAGGTGCCATCCACATTGGAAGAGAAGCAAACTGGCGCAGCGGTGTTCAATCTTTCTGGCCAGCTTGCAACACTTTGCCACCTGAAACTAAATATAGACTTATGCATAACAAAAACATATACATACATCTACTATAATCAAATGCATTTTCCCTCTCAAAACCTATCATGTATTGGATGTCAAGTCAGAATTCGCCCAGGATCTTGTTTCTTTTTCCCCCTTTTCCCATGTTTTTTTCCCACGCTCTTTCCCAATGGCAAGTGGCTGAGAAAGAACTGGTGCGAGATGGACTTCAAGACTTTCAGGCGATTTTGCGGGGAGCATGGCGAGTCATACATCACCATCATTAAGGACTGGCGAGCGGGTGACAACAATGGTCCCAGCCGAAGAATTCAGCGATGGAAACCAATGATCCGGAAGAAAAATCATGACAAATCCACTGTATGTTGCAGCATTCTACATTTGAAGGTCGTTTGAAATCGACAAGGTAATGACCCCATCTTCCACAATAACTTTCCAACTGGAGAAACTGGCCCAACCAGTGCAAGCGAAGCGTAGGTTCAGCTGGGTTCTTCATGATTGGGTCAATCAATTCGGTCAGAAAAGACGTGTAACCACAAACAAGTCTTGCAAATTGAATTTTTATGAGTAAAACGATGTAAAACGGAAAGGATATGCCAATCACCAAGCACCGGCGCCTCCCAAAGCGCATCACTCAGTGGCTTGGAACCCTTCTTGGGGTGATAACCTCAACGCAAGTCAATAGTCTCCACAGATCCCCGTCAGACTCTCAGCCCGGCAACTGGTCACGTAGTCGCATTCAAACTCGCCAAATTCGGGAATGACCCACTCATTCAGCGTGTTCACCTCCGGCTCCCCGGTGTCCCCTGGCCACCCCAGCGCTATGTTTTTCTGGAGGAAAAATTGGGTAAAGAGGATTCAAGAGGTAAATATATATATATATAACCATGTGACCCATTTAACTCCCTTGTGTCTATTGTCTTTCATATTCACCTAGAAAGGGTTGGAGGAAGCGTGACAAGACTTGTATGACTTGGAGCACCAGCACCATCACTCTTCAGACCAATTGTTGGGCAATGACCTGGAAACTCTGCATATCTCTGCATGGTGAATAGCTGAGTCAATTAAGCTTGGCTCGTCCCAAAATGCAAAGGTATCCCGGTATATCCCGGTCACTATGTTTGCCTCATACTGAACGCCCATGATATCACCATGAGGGTTGGGCATCCTTAATTTCTTTGAATATACCGTATACCCATAGGATCCATGTATGGCATATATGGTAACATGGATCCCATCAATATACCCCAAATGTTAGCATATATACCATACATGGATCCTATGGGATATCTGATAATCATACGAATCTGAAGCGCTTTGCGGGATGTCAATTGCCTTGCTTCAGTTGAGGGACCGATAAATGGAGCGACCGGCCCTGATGGCATTCGTTGCGTAGCTGCGATTGGTTCCCGCGTTGAGACACCTGGGATATTGTCGGGATCATCCCAGGTAGGATTCAACAGGTGAACATAAACACATCCGACAAAGGCATACAAAGGTCAACTAATGCATTCCCAGGCATCAACTAATGGATATCTCAAACAACTCCAAACACCTGGATGCTTCTGTTCATGCTTCCCCCCTCCATCCCCTCCCGACTCCCGACTGAAGCTGCACTCTGAGCAACGTCCACCCGACGATTTCGCCGGTTCACCACGCACTCCCAACGATCCAAGAGGAGGAGCTGTTGAGCCACGGCAAAATCCGTACTGTTTTCCAAGCTCAGCTTGTAGTGACCAGTGGGATTTTGGGGGTTGAACAGCATGTAGGCTTCCTAAGAGGCACAATCTTTGGAGCAACATCGATGCATCATTAGATGGCATAGATGTATATAGAAGAAATCTCAGCAAGCATTAGCTCATAGAACTCTAGTAACGCAAAGCCCCAAAACGCATTCCCCAGTTTTTTATTTATTTTTACATCCTACAAAAACCAGAGGCCCAAGCTTCCATGTCTCGAAGCGTCACCAGCAAATCCTCCATGTTCAGGAATAAGGATGTCGCCAAGTACATGTTTGCACCCGTTCGCTTCAGACTGGGAATCAGCCGGAACAGAATCTGGGTGGAAGCTTCCGGACAAGCCTCCAAGGGTGAACTCGACCATGGATGACCATGGGATGATGGGGCGGCGATGTTTAGGCCCTCCTTGCCCCAATCATTGGGATAAAAACATGGTAAAATAATATGACATGACATTATGATACGTGAAAGAGAGTCCGTGCTATAGCTGAAAGTGAAAACTGATCTCCTAATGGTTTGGCTTTCCTCCCAATGCCATGCAAGTCAGCTAATGACTGCAAGGCTTGTGACAATCCAAGCAGGCCCCGCAAATGAACTAATTAATTGATGTTTGGTTCCTAATATATAATGTTCGGTACCGTGGAAAAAGTGATGATTCAAGCCGAGTGTTTCGCTGATATTGAGTGGTCTTGTAAAAACATGTCACACGCTTGTACAACTCGTGATAAATATCCCTGCCTGACACCTGTCATATTATAGACATACCTTGTCTTCCAAAGACATAAGCCAACACGACAGCATATTTTTTTCCGTATGGGTTTTTCATGGGGGATGGTGTCGAACTCAGCTTCCCAGTTCGTCCAATGACTCGAACCCAGCCTTCACCATGTACTCCAAATAGGGCACCACCATGTTGAAATCCTTGGATGTGCAGCAGCTGCAGCATCCAACCCCCCCAAAGAAAATGACCAAACATCATTTCCCACCAAAAAACAGGCAGATTCTACGAGTATTGGTGGGGAAAAATGGTGATTTAATGTGAATTATGATCATTCCCATCATTTCTGGCGAATTCTACGAGGAAACACATCGACATCGACTTAGAAGATCAAAGACTCGGAGGCCAAAGCCGATAGAAAGGTCTCTTGTTCCATGGGCATTCCACTGATGGCCTTCCAATTGGCCAGTAAGGGTCTCATCCTCAGCCCATCTCGGAAGCCGGCCAACTATGGCTTGTGTTACAGTTCTGTATCTTGCATCTATTATATATAGAAACAATGGGAATATAGTGGGAATATAGTGGGCATATACCAACTTAATTAGATAGTATATGTACATATACATATACACACACACATATATATATATATATACATATAATGGGGATAGAGTGGCGATATACCAGCTTAGTTATTAATATGGGCTTGTCTAAAAATATCTAAAAATGATATACCTATACAATAACCAGTGTAAAGTAAGATAAAGTAAGAGGGGGAATGATGGTTAACCAGTGGATTTAGTTCAGAATTTCATGTCAACCACAGAATAGTACACCCATGGGCTGTTTATAATTGATGGGGTGCAATTTAAAAGTGCCAAATGACGTCACTTTGTTGGGGGAAGCAGTTAATTCATACACTGGTCTTTAACCATCCAGGGTTTACATTACATATCAATATACAATTATTGTTGTTTCCTGTAAGGGAACACCTGATTTACACCGACATCCAAGCCAGCAAACTTGGCCTAGCTGCTTGATGCGATGTGGCGTGAAGCGCATTAAATCCAGGTGCGCATTGAGGAACGCCACGAAGTCATCGTCCGCAATTTCCTCGGAACCCCATGGATTTCCATATCTGATTCATGAGGATCAACCAAAAAAATGTTATAACATGTTATAAAACATGTATGTATGTATGTATGTATATATATATATATATATCCCTCTTCAAACATGTGGTAAAGTGAGCTGTGCTCAAAACCCCTGTTGGCTGATGAGTTCGGAGATTCTACTAACCAACATATTGGGGATTATCACAAACCATAAATGGAAAATCCCGATTTGGGGTCCTAATTACTGTAAAGTACAGGAAAGCGCGAAACTCATGCCTAAGTCACGCCTGTGTGCTGAAAATCTGCTTTCCCCCATCTAAATGCAATTTCCAGGAAGTCATGCCTATGTCATGCCCGTAACCCAAATCACCATCTAAATGCAGCGGAAACCTTTGCTTCATTTTGATTATATGACTGATACCAGTAGTACCGCACAAGGCGGTGGCGGAAGTTTCAAAAATAGTAGCCTGTAGGAAGTGTTGGGTTTTTGCGTTGCATGGGCGGCAGAGCAAGCCGCTGATGGATCGTTTTTGATAATGGTTTGTTGTGAAATGAATAGTGAATCTGAAAGTGAAGTGTGAGATAAGGGATATGATATATACTGGAAAAAAACGACGTCAGAACGACGTCCGAACGACGTCCAAGCGACGTCAACTCATTCCCTAGGAAAAGCCACTCCCCACATGATGGCTGAACAACATGAGACTCCTAGTACGTTACATTAATACAAAGGAAGAAATGGCTACTCAAAACACCAACTAAATGCAACGACCAAGTCTTAAGTAACTCAGATGTGAAGTCTTTGCCCAACATCAAAACACCAACTAAATGCAACGACCAAGTCTTAAGTAACTCAGATGTGAAGTCTTTGCCCAACATCAAAACACCAACTAAATGCAACGACCAAGTCTTAAGTAACTCAGATGTGAAGTCTTTGCCCAACATCAAAACACCAACTAAATGCAACGACCAAGTCTTAAGTAACTCAGATGTGAAGTCTTTGCCCAACATCAAAACACCAACTAAATGCAACGACCAAGTCTTAAGTAAGTCAGATGTGAAATCTTTGCCCAACATCAAAACACCAACTAAATGCAACGACCAAGTCTTAAGTAAGTCAGATGTGAAATCTTTGCCCAACATCAAAACACCAACTAAATGCAACGACCAAGTCTTAAGTAACTCAGATGTGAAGTCTTTGCCCAACATCAAAACACCAACTGAATGCAGGATTTATATAAAATCATAGATCCGATCATGAAAACCAGAAAATCATGCATTTCCTATGCGTTTCACAAAAAGGCACGACTTTTCAAAATCAAGTGCTCCGAAGCTATTTTCAACGATTCTCACTAATCTAGGCACGACTTTAGCAACTCTCTGTAGGGCCCCTAGATAGCTAAGTTGCTTCACAACTAAGGTTAATGGTGGCTTATGGTAGAGGTTATATATATATATAGTTATACATATGTAATTAATATAACTTGGTGTAACTAGAGTTCATGTGCTTTACAAATCAACTATGACCAACAAACAAAACTGGAAGACCTTCCCCATGCCGCGCCAGGCGACTCCCCACTTGGCTGCGATGGCGGATTCCACGTTGAAAGTGAAGGTCAGCACCCCCTCACGCCGCACCTAAAACAAAAGTCAATGGATTGGTCTTGTTGGGACAATTTACAGGAAAACCCCATATTTCATTGGAAAATCATGGAAAATCTGGCTAAGATTTTCCCAACAAAACCAATCCATTGAAAAAGAGATGGCTTTTCTCCATCTTTCCGGAGGATTTCGGGAGACTTGTTGGCAAAAAAAATGAAATTCACCGAGGGAACATAGTAGTCTCAAGAACATGCAAGATTTTCAGAAATAGGGATGCAGGGATATGCATTAAAAAAAGGAATGTGTTTAATAATTAAATAATCTAGTGGGGAAAATTATGATACATATCCTTCTGGGTGTGTCCTTTTTTCAGACAGAGCCAAAGAGATAATGTGCGAAGTAGCATTGCCAAATAGTGCTTTGACAAATTTGACAAAAAAGGCATGAAACACCTTCGAAAAGTGCAAGCAAACTGTGTTTTTTTCTCTTTTTTTATTATGTTTTTGGGTGGTGTTGTGGCTAGCATTACAAATTATATATTATACATGATACGTGTCTATGTATATTATATATGTGCCCACTGCCCACCCCCACATCTCGCAAAGTCTGCGTGAGTTAGAAAGGGCAACTATGCCGGTGGGTACTACTTCTTGTTGCATGCATGACACTAAGATGAACAAACTAGCTGCATGAAATTGAAATTGGACATACTGGTCATCCGTCTTGGCGTTGTGGCATGGAGATTTTGACCCAAAACACCCCCAAAACATCCAAACACTATCACCATCACCATATATCCCATGCAATCGTGAAGGTTACAGGATGTTACAGGTCACCAGCAGCGCCCCAGGATGACTTTCAAAAATGCCTTGTACTGGCCGATGCTATCTCCTTGGGAGCGCAGCCAAATGGGACGTGCAAGGGTTGCCCCCTTGGCCCCTTGGCATTTCCACTGCGGACTCTGATTGATTCTCCTGATTCTTGGTGGGTGGATGCATCAAACAATTGTATGCCAAAATCACTATGATGAAACAGTCGTCAACCTGGAAACTAGGCCCTTTCTGCTTCTGCATTGCATGGGCACCAAGGATCGAATGGGATGCTGGTAGGGTGGATTGCTATAGCTGATGTTCACGAAAGCCTGGGAATGCTTCAAGCTGAAGCGTTCCGCTGTCTCGTAGAGCATCCTCAAAATGTGGAACCCCGGCAGGCACATGGGCAACAGCAACCCTGAAGTGGAGGGATAACCGACACTCATGCAGAGATCACACCTGTGACATCAAAGCAACAAAGCAACGTGTGCAATGCTTGCAATATCTGCAGCAAAATCACTTGCAATGCGGCAAAAATGGCGGTGTATGGTTGGTTGGTTGGTTGGTTGCTTATTGGTTGCTTGGTTGGTTGGTTGGTGTATGGTGTATGGTGGTGTAAACCAGCAGTCTCCCGCAAATGGGTACGGATGAACACATATATCAAAACCAATGACAGGGGATGAACATCCAGCTCCATCATCAGCTATGGTGGTATTGACACAGCATACTCGGCCTGCACAAGCTGCGATCATAAGGAATGGAGAGGTCCAAGATGTACTTCCCCCCAGGGTTGGTGAAGGAAAAGGCCTTGGCTGAGATCTAGGAGGTCAAGACTCTATTCTGTTGGATGTCATTTTGGGCAGAATGATAGGTACATTAAATAAGTTCAATGACTACATTACTACTACTATATTACTTACTGTAGTCGTAGAAGTGTGTTTCAGCAGGTCAATGAATGTTGATCCGACTGATTCACAAGGAATGTAAACATTAACATTGGATACGACATGAAAAACGATAATAAACATGCTTTGCAAAAAACGTTGGATCAAAGACGAGTTTCTCCTTTCAATCCATCATAGCCAACCCGTTCATCATCATGTGCTAGGGTCAAAACATGCTTTGGGGTTTATGGGCATCCATCCCAAAATGGCAATCCTCATAATGGGATATAGTGGATATGTAAATCCCTATCAATGGACACATCTCTCTCCAGAAAGAACGTTGGGCGCCAACCTGTTGGGCGCCCTTGTTGAAGACAACCTCATCGCCAGATTTGCCCCCATGGCAACCTGCCGGGATCCAAGTCAGAGAGCGACTGGACAACCCAAAAATGATCCGGAGAAAATGGCCACGAGTGGATAGCATATATATATATATACATTTACACACACACATATATATATATTATTATATATATTCACACACACACATAGATCACATAGGCATGTATATACAGTAATTTGCTGAGTAATGCTCACATGGGGTGCGGTGGGGATGTTAGCGTTCCTTCAACCGCGTTCCTTCGACCTTGCACAAGATGTTGCCAGACACGGGGCAAATGGTGGGAGTTGATCGTAATTTTGCATCATCTTTCTTTCTTGGGCAGCTTTAAACTGGAAATCAAGGTCGTAATTATGTTTTTATGTTTTTCATTGTCGTTTACATTTGTTCATAACATTATCATTTGTTTGCACTGCCAACATGGATTTTCATGCAGATTTTCATTGGGATTTTTCATGTGGTTTCATGGCATGTATCTTATTCATTAGCAATGTTCGCTTTGCTCCTCAGCCAAGATGACAAACAACTACATGCCATGAAGCCACATGAAAATCCCAATGAAAATCCAAATGAAAATCTATTTTGGCAATGAAACAAAATTAATTTATGAAAAACATGTAAATGAAAATGCAAACATGAAACAATAATTTTGTTTGACTTGACTTCCCTCAGCTAGAGGCTGCAAGATTTTTCATAACAGTAATTGCTAGTATAAATGTAAATTATATACATGCATACTGATTTTTCATTATTTCTTAGATGTTTTAAATTATTTTCATTGATTGTTCAATGTGCTTACATGTTTTTTATCATGTTTCAATGATTTTTCAATGTTTTAAAAATGTTTTTCATTATTTTTCATTGTATTGTTGGCTAGAGTCTTGCAATTTACATGCATATTCTGCATATTTGTAGTACATGGAAGGCACGGGACGGTCGAAAATTCGAATTTTGGAGTTTTGGGGTCTTCAGGACTACATAAATAGGGTTGGAATGCCGTCCCGGATTTGTTTAGAGGTTTCAGGACTAAATAAATAGGGTTAGAATGCCTCCCAAATTTCTCACGCGGTACGCGGGTGTTTTTCTTGACGTCCACATCTTTCCACCAAAACGTCATTCTAACTTTCGGTCCGTCGGTATATATATATGTATATATGCATTTTTTCTGTGTATATATATATGTGTGTAAATGAATATATATATATATATATATAGTTGTGTGTGTGAAGTTTGTGTGATTGTGATTTGCAACTGGCGCCCTTTCACAAAGTTTCCGTGCCCCCGTCACTTTCACTGGCGAGGCAACCTATTTGGCCAATATCAAGGTAGTTCAGAGGCCATCTCTGGGTACTGCTTGCTGAATGGAGTTTGGGAAGCAATCTCTCAATCTCTCCTCCCCTTAATCAAAGAGTATACGCTACATACATCCGTGGAAACCATCGTAGAGCCGCAACAACAAGTCCGTGGAACTATGTATCCTAATTATATGTTCGTGGAGGCATCGTCAAATCCCTTAGATAATGTGGTGTTGACCCAATAAGTCATAAACCACCCCAAAACCTAAACCACCATGTAGTTTCACCCTGTTTGCTGGTTAAGAAATCGTTCCACCGTTTTTCATCATAGTTGAATACCGTCATCTTGGCAAAAATGGTGTTGTCTGAACATATAGAATAGGATGCAGTAACTCAGTACCCCATTCCAGCCACTAATAATCGTGGTCTCTACAACAAATGAGCAGTGCTAGAGACTCCCTGTTCATGGGTTGTGATAATCCCCAAAATATTGGTCAGTACAATATCCCATAATCATTAACCAACCATCATTTGCAAAACAAATTCTCTATAAGTTTGATACTTAAAACCACACACGCACAAAATGTACAAAATTGATTGTTGAAACAAATCCCAAGAAAATCCTCAATATTTGTCAACCAACCGGGTTTTGAACGCTTCTCAAACGGAAGGTGACCCTAATGTTGACCTACGACTTATCAAACTACCCTGAATATAGCTAAATTACTTTACTTCGTGTGATCCCCATTTATACATTTTCTTACTGGCAAATCTTCTGGCATTCTATCTGACATATCTTCTGACATTCTATTTGGCATTCTATCTGGCATATCTTCTGGCATATGTTCTGGCATTCTATCTGGCATATCTTCTGACATTCTATCTGGCATTCTATCTGGCATATCTTCTGGCATATCTTCTGGCATTCTATCTGACATATCTTCTGACATTCTATTTGGCATTCTATCTGGCATATCTTCTGGCATATGATCTGGCATATCTTCTGGCATATCTTCTGGCATTCTTTCTGGCATTTTTTCTGGCATTCTATCTGGCATATCTTCTGGCATTCTATCTGACATTCTATCTGGCATATCTTCTGACATTTTTTCTGGCATTCTATCTGGCATATCTTCTGTCATATGTTCTGGCATATCTTCTGACATTCTATCTGACATATCTTCTGGCATTCTATCTGGCATTCTATCTGGCATATCTTCTGGCATTCTATCTGGCATACCTTCTGGCATTCTATCTGGCATATCTTCTGGCATTCTATCTGGTATATCTTCTGGCATTCTATCTGGCATATCTTCTGGCATTCTATCTGGCATATCTCATGGCATTTTATCTGGCATATCTTCTGACATTCTATCTGGCATATCTTCTGACATTCTTTCTGGCATATCTTCTGACATTCTTCTGGCATATCTTCTGACATTCTGTCTGGCATATCTTCTGACATTCTTTCTGACATTCTTTCTGGCATTCTATCTGGCATATCTTCTGACATTCTATCTGACATCTTTTCTGACATTCTTCCCGTTGAGGTCCGGCAGTGCCCACTGCGATCTGGAAGTCGCGGTTGAAGTCCGGCAGTGCCCACTGCGATCTGGAAGTCGCTGTTGAGGTCCGGCAGTGCCCACTGCGACCTGGAAGTCGCGGTTGAGGTCCGGCAG